CACTCTCCCACCCCTTCACCCCCACACTGAGTGTAATAGTCTTGACCACACCCATCGCTCCCTCATTATGAGTTAAATTTGTAGCACACATGCCTAATGTGTAATCTGGGTTGGGCCTCATTTTGTAGCCCAAAAGATAGTTCGGTCCGAGCTCGGGCTTCTCATTTTTGGAATTTCAAGGCTTGAAAGAAAGGATAATTCAGGCTTCGGTCTGTATTTTGAAGGTTCGACTTATCAAAGCCCGGCCAGACACATGCTCAGGTTTCAGCCGTCAATCTGATTCCGCAAAGTCTCACACACCCTGCTGTAGGCTGTAGCTCCCCCAAATCTCATCCACCGGCCGGCCCTAATGGCGCTCCCAGATGAACTCCTGGAGGAGATCTTCCTCCGCCTCGCCGCGGCCGCCGACCTCGCGCGAGCCTCAGCGGCGTGCGTCTCCTTCCGCCGCGTCATCACCGGTCACCCCTTCCTCCGCCGGTTCCGCACCCTCCACCCGCCGCCCCTCCTGGGCATCCTCTGCGGCGGCCTCATCCCCGCCCAGCCGCCCCACCCTTCCGCCGCAGCGGCAGCCGCCTTTGCCGACGCCGACTTGTCGTGCTCCTTTCTTCCCCCATCCCGCGACGGCCGCGCCTGGCGCCACCGCGACGGCCGCGACGGCCGCGCCCTTTTCTCCCCCGCCCTCGAGGGGATCGACGGCGACTACAACCCCAGCCACCTGGCCACGGAGTTCGCCGTATGCGACCCCCTGCACCGTCGCTACCTCCTGCTGCCGGCCCTCCCGGACCTTCTGGTCGGTCAAGTCCATAGGCCGGACATCGTGGAGTGCGAGCCCTTCCTCGCTCCTCCTGGCCCTGACGACGTTGGGGCTGACTGGTCGTCATTCAGAGTCATGTACTTGGTGCGGTGCACAACCAAGCTCGTCCTCTTCGTCTTCTCTACCTGCGCCGGACAATGGCTCGCTAATCCTGTTACAGTTGACGTGTTTCGATGCGGGGCGGCGATGCACCGCTTCTACGCCCATGGATGCTTCTGTTGGGAGGTTTTTCGGTCTGACAAGTTGCTCGTGCTCGATGCGCGCAGGATAGAGTTCTCCACTGTTGACCTCCCGACTCCACCTGGCCCTGATGTGCGAAAGATGGCCATTGTAGAGGCAGGAGGAGGAAGGCTTGGGATGCTTACTATCTCTAAGCATCCTGAACCTGGTGTAGATCATCTCCTGTATGCCGTACAGTCTAAGGATGCGAATGCCACAAACCAGTGGCAGTCCAAGTCAGTAATTTCTTTGCCGGAAAATTATCGCTATGGCATCATGGGTGTAGCTGGTGGATACTTACTCCTAACTGGGTATCCACAAGACAATAGGCCAATAAGCTATTTTTCACTGAATCTCCAGACTTTCCAGCTTGAGTGGTTTTGTCAGACTGGTGATAAAGTCATCTTTGGTGACCTGTATGCCGATCTCCCACCGTCCTTGTCCCCACCAACTCTTTGAACTGGTAAGCTTGCCCTCAGTTTTTAATTACTTTGCTTGCATATGGCATTGCAATTGCAATCTGATGCAAGTGTTAGTTATATGGTATTGTGTACATTATCATTCTCTACTTTGGAAACAGTCCTGAACTAGCGCTGATGTGGCCAAGTTACTTCCCATCCTTTATAATATTCATTCATATTGCTAGTTGGTGTTTAGGTACTATTCTAATGGTTAGTGCATCTGGGCAATTCGAAATCTGTGAATTTTAGGGTAAGCAAAAAGTATCTGTTTCTCATCTTGTGAATATGACTGTCCTCATTGTCAGTGTCATACCGAAATAGTAATCAGCATTGCAGTATGGACAAGTCAAGCTGGATTTGACATGTATTTGCTACTTTCCCGCGAGTCTTTTTTCTTGTACATTTGAAACTACATATTTTCCCCCTTTTTTTAGCTACGTATTGAACCGTTTGCTTTAGCTAGTTCCTTCTCCCCTCAGCATGCTCACATTCTTCTTGTCCATTGATTGCTTTAGTTAGCTACTTTGTGGTGGGACCTATTCATTAGATTGCATAAAGCACTAGTGTTAATAATATTAGTAGCAGCAAGCACCATTATTTATCAAAACAATGGTTCTTTGCACTATTTTTAATTTTGTTGGGCTGTGTAGTGTGCATCATGTCAAATGAATTCTTGCTTTTGGCTGGTGAGACTCACAGTCAGCTTAGGGTGCATTAGATAGCATGCTAAATTTGGGTTTTGCCAGCTGGCATCATCACCAAGTTATCAAGTCTTGTGGCATGTTTGGTGGAATAGCTCCAATTTGTGCAATAAGTTGACCATAGTGGTTGAATGTTTTATCTTTTGTGTTTTTATCTCACAATGTGTTTGCGATTAGAAACTTCGGGTCATACTATTGTTCCTGATTTTGCTAAATGAGACCACCCGAAAAATCCTGTTTTGCCATCACCCTTTTTATAATGACCCACTCTGTAATTATGCTTGAATTTGCAACTGACATGTTGTAATTGATGCTGTCTTTCCATGTGGCAAACACAGTAGCCAAACCACTCTCTTACATCGACTTAGGCATGGACAACTGAGACATACACTAGATCAGACTCGTATGTCCACATCAGCCTAATGGGAACCATGAAAACTGTTGTGGAGTTCAGTCGACTGCTATGTCCACATAGACGGCAAGGTGCTAGTTTCGCTAAAATAAAAGCAAGACCAAAGGCACTAGAGCCTCTGATTTTTCCTTAAAGAGAGAAGTTGGGTTGGAACCTAGGTGGTTGGTGGCACAACTAACTGTGCCCAGCAATGCGACGCCCTAGTGATTCCGTAATTTCACTAAAATTTGCAGAGCGCTTGGTGCTCCTGTGACAATAGGGTGTGATATTAGTGTCACATTCTCAGTGCCAGTTTATGTAATGACAGTTCCCTCTATCCTAGTGGCAGCGTATGACACCTGGGTTGTACTGATAAATCAAACATATCAAATGCCGTGGTAATGTTTATGCCCAGTAGTATCTCTGGTCTTGAACTGCAAATATTCATGTCTAATCTAGATAACTTCAGAAACATGTTTGTGTAGTTTGGCAAATAAGAGTTGACTTTGAGCATTTCAATCAGATTGGGCGGCCATCTTTTTCAGCATAATGACTTTTAGTGACTCTCCAGAAGTAGATGTTTGCATTTCATACATTCATGAAAATAATTGCATTACGGTGAGTTAAAATGCTAATTCCCATCTAGTATTTCTGTGCAATACATTTTCTTTATTTTTATATAAGAAAAGAGAGGCTTGCAGGCACATGCTTTCTTCCTCAGTTTGTTACAGTTCAACATTTCCTTTTGAGTTGTCTTACTTAAGAACCCTTTCCCTCTATAACCAGGACCTCTCCAGAGAATACGCTGATGGCAAGGACTCGCAAGCGTGACTAATGGCATGTCAAGGAGAATAAATGTAAGAACTTCTGAAAGAGTGGAAGTGGTTTGCACTCGACAATAACTTGCAGCTAAGAGAAGATACTGCCTCTTTGAGCTATTGAAGAACAAGGCACCAAGCAGTTGATGACCGGCGCATCCACCCCTTTTTCTTGTTAAAATTCTCATGTCGTTTCTGCTTTTTGTTGCAATGCTTTTATGCCTGGCAAGAGACTAGACTAGCTTATTATGTATCCACGGCCTGATTTGCTCCCCCTACGGTCCAGCTTCAGTAGCCGCTTTGTTTGAACTGAGTAGTGGTAAGTAAGCTTTGCGGCTTCAGCAACCCTGGAAATAGATTGCTTTTGGTGGTGTATGATTCTAGTATCAGTATGTATGTATGGCATACCCAAACTCACCTGTGTTTAACTTCTGCTGATGCTCATCTTCCTAGAAACACATGGGGGTGGCAATTTTCCTATAAACACATGATGCTCATCTTCCTAGAAACACATGACATACAGTTTACGCTGCGAGGGGGTGGCAATTTCTTTAGAAACACATGGCAACTTCTTCCTAGAGAATGCATCTACATCTACACTACTATTGAACAACCAAACAAGAACTTTTTTATGTGCACCCCGCAATTAGTCTCACGACACCGCACGAACCAATCAGCACCGCATGATTAGGCTCACAAATCTTAATCTGATAGTCATCATTTATCTAATAGCAAAATGGTGTGGACCTAGCAATTTTACCGTACTCCACGACGGAGGAAATTTCACATTCGGCGTACGCAAACGCATCCCTGTAATCACGCTGAGGCACAAAAAAACGAAATCACCCACCCTCAGATAATCATGCAGCCATCTCCTCTAATCGCTCACCCTCAGATAAACTTCAAAAAGAAAATCACTATCCCCGGAACCCCGCGGTCCCTCCCTGCCGCCGCCGTGCCACCCAGGGTGCAGGAGCCGCTGCGCCCCCGGCCTCGTGCCACCCTCGGCATGCCGCGCCGCTGCCTCACGAGGAATCAGGAGCCGCCGTGACCTCGGCATCCTGTCGTGCCGTCCGCAACACGTCGTGCGCCGCCGAGGGAGCAGGACCCACCGCCGCCCTTCCCCGCGTCCTCTGCCTCCTTCACTCTGTCGCTGCGAGCTGCCTCACCGGCCAGATCCACTCAATCTGGACAAGCCACTACCACATCTCTTAGGGAATGTTCTCCAGTCAGCCACCTCACTCGCCTTTGATTCCCTGCAATCGAGACCCCAAGACACTGGTATCTCTGTCCCCATAAGTTGATCCTCCCACTTCTTCCCCCTGATAGATTAATTTACTGTCTTGTCAATTCGGTTCTCTATTTTGAGCATATGTGACATGTTATGCAGGGCATTCAGTTTTGATTTTTATTTGCAAGGATCCAGATTTTGATTGTAGTTTGTGGGGTAAAATTCTTGCTGTGAAGAACTGATATTCTTGTGTGGGGGATTCAGTTCTTGGCTTGCAAGGACTTAGAGTTTATGTACTGCTGCTCCTAGAGAGGGTGCATCAAGCATTGGAATGCTGCATGTAGAAACCTTGACAATTTCTTCTGTACTTATTATTTTCTCTGAGATAGGACGTTGAATCTACATATGTCTATGACATTGTTTTCTTAGATAAAGGAAAGTATAGTATGCTAAAGAGGATGAAATATTTGAATATAAATGTGACCTTAATTTTTTTTAAGATTATAACCTCTCATCAGTTGATTGAATTACAGGGTGCAGGAGGGCATGTCTGTGGGCATGACAATAGTTGAAAAAGGAAGATTCAGAGGTTGAGCATTAGCTACGCTGCAATCAAGTTCATGCTCCTCTAGCGTTGGCTTCTAGATACCAAGTGAAGCACGTTCAAGATTAGATAGTGATTTGTATGGTATCTCATATTTTCGTCAGGAAATGCGCTATTGTTACCACAACAGCGCCAATATCAAGGTGATGCACCTGATGTCTCAAATGCTTATATATGTCCAGTATGTATCAGACAAAACTCTACCAAGATGAAGGCATTGCATTTACGAGCACTATGTCCAATGCATATATGTGTAAAATTGAACCGATTGTGATCAGTATAGATTGGTGAATTGTTTTGTGGCACCACAAGATTATAATTGTCATCGGTTTACCTGTTAAGATCGATGTTGATTCATGAATCCGGCGTTATTCTCATGCATGTATGAACTTGTTCATGTCATATTACTTATCGCTCAAACAAATGTATCAAGCAAGATCGGAGGGAGTACAATATGATACTTTTTCCCATGTTTATTTTTGGAAACGTTTGTGGTTCATCATGTAAGAACGATGAACAATCATATTATTATTTAACTTTTTTTCATTGTTTTAAATGACATTGCTTGTGCCTTGCGACCGTGTATGACCCTTAAATAATTATATCTCTGATAAAGTTTACCTTGGCGCTCATTTAGCATGTTCCTATTTATATATGTACCTTTTCGTTTGTACAATGCTTAATCGTATCATAAGTCCTATGAAAGTTTGCATTAGATAACAGAAATATTGTGAATATTTGATTCCATTTTTACTATACGCACAATAAATAACCCATATGTTCTCTATGGAAAAGTTCACCCCGTTAATTGCCTTCGATGTGTGAATTTTGCTAATTATGAATAGGGAAATTCCGCTTACTAGTTTAGAAAAAAAGGAACATCGTTTGATCTCGATCAATCAAATGGATGTGAGGGCGTTCGCTGGGAGTTCCTTCCCAGCTAATGTTCGCCCGTTAGCATTACCTTTATTTCTTTCCTTCAATTTTTTTAAAAAAGGGATTTGTTAATATCGCGGAGATACCAATTATACTCAGCCTCTGCACCAACAAGAAGACACAAAGACATCTAGGATGCAAACAACCCGAAAAGAAAAGAAAAAAGAAAAAAAATGACATCGCCAAAGTGATCAACCCCTCTCAGCACCATCACACAACCACCATCAAAGACAGCACCCGGAAAACATAAAAGGCCTCCAAAAGCGACGCCTTCAAAGGAAACAAGCACGAGCGCCTTCGTCGTCCGATCTAAGATCATAGGTTTTCACCCGCGAAAGCAAAAACATGCCTCTCACGGAAGAAAAAAAAATGTTTTTTTTGTTTCCGAGGCACGACCGTGCTTCTTGCGAAAGAAAAATCGTGCCTCTCACGAAAAAGGCGTTTTTTTCACGCAATTTTGTTTGCCGATTTTTTTGTCGAAAAGCTAAGAAACATAGATAGAAAACCGAAAAGTAAAAAAACCATCTAAAAAGCCAAAAAAAACACGTGCGGCAATATAAAAAAATATGAAGGAAGTGCCCAGCGCATGAGTGACACGTGACATGTGACATGTGACAGCTCTTAGTAGACCCTCAAATGATTGTTGGAAGGCCCTCGAGAAAACGCTCATCAATTGCTTTCCGATTCACTTTTATACATAGCTGGCCATATGGTCCGTCATGCGTTGCCTAGGCCGCGACACGCATGGGGCCGTGCTCAGGCGCATGTGCGAGCCCCGCGTGCCGGCACGACTTGACCCATTTATTATTTTTTCTTAATTTTTTTGAGGTTTTATTATTTTTTCTTAAATGGTTCTGATATACTGTATTATAATCCAATAACAACTTAAAAAGCTCCAAAACAACCCGAATTGATCCAGTAGCATGGACACCGGTGCACACGTGCCGACCCTCTTATACACGGGCCGGCCCGTTTAAGGGTGGTCCGTGTCGTGCCTGGCTAGGTCCCCGTTTGTGTTTTAAGTAGTGGCAGATCCCCGTGCTCCGCCGGCCTAATGGCGCTCCCAGGTGAACTCCTCGAGGAGATCTTCGTCCGCCTCCCCACGGCCGCCGACCTCGCGCGCGCCTCCACGGCCTGCGTCTCCTTCCGCCGTGTCATCGCCGGCCACGCCTTCCTCCGCCGATTCCGCGTCTTACACCCGCCGCCTCTCCTCGGCATCCTCTGCTGGGATCTCACCCCGGCCCAGCCGCCCCACCCTTCCGCCGCCGCAGCGGCCACCTTGGCCGGCGCAGACTTCTCGTGCTCCTTCCTCCCTCCGTCCCGCGACCGCTGGTGCCTCCGCGACGTCCGTGATGGCCGCGCCCTTTTCTCCCCCGCCCTCGAGGGGACCAGCCGTTTTCCCGACTACCACTACAACCCAAGCGATCTGGTTACGGAGTTCGCCGTCTGCGACCCGCTGCACCGGCGCTACCTGCTTCTGCCCGCCGTCCCCGACCATCTCGCCGGTCAAGTCCATCCGCCGGACATCTTGAAATGCGAGCCCTTCCTTGCTCCTCCTGGCGACGATGAGAAGCCATCGTTCAGGGACTTCAGAGTAATGTGCTTAGTGTGGTGCAAGACCAAGCTCGTCCTCCTCGTCTTCTCGTCCTGCGCCGGACAATGGCTCGCCGATCCTATTACTTTTGAAGTGCTTCGATGCGCAGCGCCGCACCGCTACTACGCCCATGGATGCTTCTGTTGGCAGGTTTATAAAGCCAACAAATTGATCGTGCTGGACGCACGCAGGATGGAGTTCTCTGCCCTCAACCTTCCGTCTCCACCTGGCCGCTATGGGCAGCAGGTGGCCATTGTGGAGGCAGGAGAAGGAAGGCTTGGGATGCTTACTATCTGTGATAAAATTCAAAGTGATGCATATCATCTCTTTTATGCTGTACAGTCTACGGATGGGAATGGCGCAAACCAGTGGCAATCCAAGTCCCTGATCTCTTTGCCAGAAAATTATGACTATTGCATCATGGGTGTAGCAGGTGGATACTTACTCCTATGTGGGTATCCGGAAGACAATAGGCCAAAAGTAGTCTATTTCTCACTGAATCTCCAGACTTTCCAGGTTGAGTTGTTCTGTCAGACTGATGATTATGTCCTGATTGGTGACCTGTATGCCGACCTCCCACCGTCCTTTTCACCGCCAACTCTTTGAAGTGGTAAGCCTGCCCTCCATCCTCAATTACTCACTTTGCTTGCATATAAGGCATTGCAATTGCAATATGACGCAAGTGTTAGTTATATGGTAGTGTGTACGTTATCATTCTCTACTTTGGCAAGCGGTCCTGATTTAATGCTCTGATGTGGCCAAGTTACTTTGCACCCTTTGTAATACTCAGTCATATTGATTGTCAGTGTTTAAATGACATTCTAATGGTATATGTTTCTCATCTTGTGAATACTATACAGAAATAGTAATCAGCATCACAGCATGCACACGTTAATTAAGGTGGATTTGACATGTATTGCCTACTTTCTCTCGAGTCTTTTTTTCTTGTACATGTATTGCCTACTCTCCCTTAAGTTAAGCTGTATTTGACATGTATTTTCCCCATTTTTATCGATCTATGTATTGAACCGTTTATTTCTTCTGGTTCCTTCTCCTCAGCATGCTTACATTCTTCTCCTTGTCCATTGATTGCTTTAGTTAGTTATTACTATCTGGTGGGATCCATTCATCAGATTGTATAGAGTACCAAGTGTTAGAACATTAGTAGCAGCAATCACCACTATTTATGAGAAAAAAAATGTAACTCTGCACCATTTTTGAATTTTGTTGGGCTGTGCTAGTGTGCGTAATGTCTAATGAATTCTGGATTTTGGCTGGTGAGACTCACAGTATTGCAACGTTAAAAAAAAGAGGCTCACAGTATAGCTGACGATGCATGAGGCAGCATGTTAAATTTGTGTTTTGTCGGTTGGCAATGTCATCCAAGTGATCATGTCTGGGGCCATTTTAGGTGGAGTAACTATGATTCGTGTAGTAAATTGACCATAGTAGTTCGGAGTATAAATTTATGCGTGTTTATATAACAGTGCATTTGCGTTGGAGGCTTCGGGTCATTCTATTGCTCCTGATGTTGCTAAATTTGACACCCAAAAAATGCTGAGACATACAGTTCAACAGAAACGTATGTCTAGCCTAATGGGAAACATGAAAACTATTGTGGACTGCACTCAACTACGATGTCCAAATAGATGGCAAAGAGATAGTTCGCTAAAATAAAAACAAAACCAAAGGCACTAGAGCATCTGATTTTCCGATGAAAGAGATGAGTACGGTTGGAACCTGGGTGGTTGGTGGCACAAGCAACTGTACCAAGCAACGCAACACCCTAGTGATTCCCTAATTTCTCTAAAATGGACCGGTCTAGCGAGCGGCCGGCTGCTCGCTACACTTTGCGAGCGGCCGGCCTAAAATTGCAAGTTTTGGTTTCCTAATAATTTATAAATAGTAATTACCTAGTGTGTGTCTTTTTTGTCAGTTAATAGATGTTTTTGTTAGCATTAAATGCGTACAACAAATGCGTACAAACTAGTCTGTAAAACACATTTATTTTCACCTCTTAAATCTTTAAAAAGTCATATCTTTTAAATCACACATTGAAATTTAGATCCGTTTTCACCTTTGGATTCATCGCGACGAGATCTTCGAAACTAGATCTCGCATGGGTACGTTTCGACGAATTTTTTCTGATGCCAACTTTGGTGCTATATGGTGCAACTAAAGTACTGCATTGTGTAACTAGACTATATTGCCGCGCCAACTGAGTATATGTGTGTGTAACTAGTCCTGCCAACTAAATATCAATGCGTGTGCAACTAGTGCCCTGCCAACTAAACAATAATGTGTGTGCAACTAGTCTTCCTGTCAATTAAACATCAATGTGTATGCAACTAGACTACGTTACAAGCCAACTAAACATCAATGTGTGTGCAACTAGACTATATTATAAGCTATGACAATTCATATGCGACTATCGGACCAGATTGTGCAACTCTGTGGCCATGCATGTGCCAACTAGGACTACTATGTGTGCAACTACAACTACTGTGGATGTAGCTCCAAAAAACTGGGTTTGAAAAAAATTGCACCATACAGTACTAAAGTTGCACAATATAGCGCCAAAGTTGGCATATAAAAGAAATCGTCAAAACATACCCATTAGGGATCTAGTTTTAAAGATCTCGTCGCAAAGAATTCAACAGTGAAAACGAATCTGAATTTCGACGCGCGGTTTGAAAGATATGGCTTTTTAAAAATTTGGAAAACCAAAATAATTGTACGTGAAGCCGATTCTTTCAAATCGGACTAACCAGTGTGAACACATTAAATACTAATAACGACATGCACTAGCAGACAAAAAGCAACTCATGGCTTTTTAAATTTTGGGCTCTAAAATTTGTGCTTCAGCGCTTGGTGCTCCTGTGACTATAATGTGAAAACTTGGTTTCACATTCTCAGTGCCTGCTTATGTAATGATGGCTTCTATCTTATGGTTCTTATGCATCTACCAGTCTATCACTCTGATTAAATAATGGTAGGCTTCTACCTAGTGGCAGCTTATAACGTCTTGGTTGTCTTAATAAATCTACATATTATCTCTGTTGGCTTGCATAACATGCAAATGGATAGGTCAATACTAAATTGTTGTGATAACACACATGGATCCAGATGCCGTGCTGATGTTTATGCCCAGCAATATAACTTCAGAAACATGTTTGTGTAGTTTGCAAGCAAGAGTTGGATTTATCTCTGATGGCTTGCATAACATGCAAATGGATAGGTCAATACTAAATTGTTGTGATAACACACATCGATCCAGATGCCGTGCTGATGTATATAAAACCCAACAATATAACTTCAGAAACATGTTTGTAGTTTGCAAGCAAGAGTTGGCTTTATGAGCATTCAATCAAGCTGGATACGCTTTAGCATAATGACTATTAGTGACACTCCAAATGTAGATGTTGGTATTGCATACATTTGTACATGAAAAACTTTGTATTGTGGCGAGTTGGAATCCTCGTTGCTACTTAGTATTTCTTTCTTTTCATAAAACAGAGAGGCTTGGGGACACATGCTTTCTGTTCTTCAGTTTGTTTCAGCTTGATACTTTCTTTTGAGTTGTCTTATCTAAATAGTAAGCCCCCTTTCCCTCTATAACCAGGACCTCTCTAGAGAAATATGTTGATAATAAGGACTCACAAGCATGTCTGGTGTGATGTTAAGGAGAATAAATGCAAGATCGTTTGAAAGGGCAAATGTGGTTTGCATTTGACAACAATTTGCAGCTGAGAAAATATGGTTCCTCTTTGAGCTACTGAAGAGCAAGAAGAATATAGTGGATGTCTGTCACATCCACCTTTTTCCTGTTGAACATTTCATTTCGATCTGCTAGTTGTGCAGTGTTTTTATGTCTGGCAAGAGAATGGACTAGCTTATTATGTATCAACCGCCTGATTGACTCAATTGTAGTGTCCAACTTAAGTAGTAACCCAAAGCCTGTTTGTGCTGAACATATGATGGCATGCTCATCTCATGCAAAAATGCATTTGTAAGATGTTTGTATAAGTTCACGGAGAATGCTTATATTACTTTTACTGGAAAACTGATGTTCAAATCCAATCCATCCTCTCCTAGTATTGAACACCAATACCAATACTGATGTTCAAAGCCAACAACAAAGCATTTATGGCAAACAACTCAGTAAACAAACAACAACACATAAACATGGCATGATGCACAAGTATGATGCATGTCAAGATTAAATGTTGTCACTCATGGCAAGAGATGATGCATAAAAAAATCCCACATCAAAGCAAGTTTAAATGAGGCCGGAACAATACAACACAATTTCGGAAAGTCCTCATATGAAAATTTCGAAATTGGTACTGTTCTGAATAAAACATAATGTCAAAGTTGCTAAACAGCAATTTAACATGCACCATGACGATCTACATATTTTTCTAGTCAAATTACATATCTAGATCATTTAATTTGGAGCTACGGTCTAGAAAATATGAGCAACACAAGTAAACATGGCAACAATGCAAAAAACATGCAAACATCAACCACGTTCACTCAAATCAAGGATGCAACATGACAATATGAACCTACACACAATTCTAAGCAAGTTTCATATGGAACATGATCAAAATGGAGCAACGGTTCAACAATTACAATCAACACAAGTTTCAACCACAATCTGCCCATAATAGCAACATAGCACTTTACAAGCATCAAAAAAACATGCTACAGTAACATGATGGGCACCATCATGATATACACTTAAAGTAGCGATAACATATTTCAATTTAACTTTAAGGTTCAGGTTCATAGGCATCATGGTTAATTTAATATGCTTTATGCAAAATGCAATGTTATGCTACAATATAACAAGACCGCACGCCAACTTTCAACCCATTCCAAGAACATTTTTATCCCATTTATAAAAAAAAAATTTGGAGATGCCGCGGGCACGTGTGAGTGTGGTTGTCTAGGAATGCTCAACAAAAGGGACGGGGAGAAGCGTCAACTACTAAGACTAGCCACAATGGGGAGTAACTTAGACTAGTAACATGCCTATGTTACTAGTCTTACTACCTCTATAGTGAGAAGTAACATACAACGACATTTCATTTATTAGGCTATAGACTCATCTTGCCTTGATATGTGTGATGTTACTCATACTACTAGTAACTAGCTATGTTCCATATACCTCTCTTTCTTCATTTATTGCTTGCCACATCATCTATTTTATCTAGATATGTGTGATATTACTACCTATGTTACTCCCACTGTGGGTAGTCTAACGGATTCAAGTTTTCAAAACAACGACGGCACGGAGTGCTGATGCAATGGGAATGATGCGACAATGAACGCAACAAACAAATGAATCACACAACAATAATGAAAATAAATGGAAGGCAACTGAAGCACCAGTCCCGGGGTGTCCAGGAAGGGGCTCCACCATGGAGCTTCTTACCACCCCCTTTTTGTGGCTTTTGGTGGAAAACATCCGAGGGCTTTTTGGTACTTTCCCCATAGCCTCTACCCCTTTCTCCCACTATATATATAAGTGGAGAGAGCTCTCCATTTCACTCAAGTTTCTCTCAACACATGGCATGCAATGATTTGGCTTTCTTTCTCTC